CCATTGAGTATGATGCTGGCTATAGGTCTCTCATATATGGCCTTTATTATATTGAGGAATGCTCCCTCTAATCCCACGTTGCTGAGTGTTTTTGTCATAAATCAGTGCTGTACCTTATCACGTGCTTCTTCCACATCTATTGAAATGATCTAATTAAAAATTTTTTTAAAAAATTCAGTTACCATAGGCATACAATATTATATTATATTCAGGTGTACAAGAAAGTGAATAGATATTGTATAACTTACAAAGTGAACACCCTGACAGTCTTGTACCCAACTGGCATCATCCATAGTTATTAAAATATTATTGACTATATTCCCTATCTGTACTTTAAGCAGAAATTAATTTTGAGTTCCAACTGGTGTCTTTCCCTTGGGGAATCGCTATCACCTATAAATAGTTGATTGCATTTGATCCCTTTTATCATGGGTGAGGTAGCACTTTGATTTCACTGGAATATAGACATCTATTCTGCAGATAAATCTCCTTGCACTGCCCATCATGTTTCTGCAGCACACCCACCCATGCACTGACAGAATGCCTGGGACATCCTCACAGTATTCTGTACAGCATGGCTTTGGAGCCAGGAACTTGTTTTGAAGCTAAAGAAGGGCAATGATGGGTGTGTGTCCACAGAACTGACAGGTCTTAAATAGATTTCATCACCCAGTTCACTTATGGTATCAGTTCAGCAACAAACCCCTGAAAATGTGGGGTTCTAGTTCAAAGAATGTAGTATGTACTTTGATCCAGTGATCAATATGTGTTGCTATTTCTTCCATAACCATATTACAATGTTCCATCCAATAAGACCTTGAAGCTTCACCTGGTCATTTGGACTCCTCAGGCCAGGGAACCAACAGGCACATAAGACAGCAGCTTTTGGGAGTGGGATGGAGTGACTGATAAGATGACCAAGACAAAATTGGGCAGCTGTAAGCAGAAGGGCTATTTCCTGAGGCAAGCAGTTCTCCAAGTGCTTCCATGTCCAAGGGTAAAAGATAATGGAAATGTGTGGCAACCAACCAAAGGAAATTCCATTGAGTATTCAGACACTTTTGGAATAAAGATTTACATTACATCAACAGCTAAATTATCCCCAACAAATGAGGTTTTAGCAGAGGGCAAAGGAAACAGGGAATGGGAAGTAGAAGAAGAAAGTTAGAAACATCAAGTCTGGCATCATGATCAATTGGTGTGCGTGTGTACGTGTGAGTGTCCATGTACATAAGCTAACTGGCTCTTCTCTGTCATCCTTCCTTTTCTCCCTTACACCCTGAGTGTAGGTGGGGCTCATACTCAGAGATGAGGTATAAGGAACATCATTCCCACACATGGACACTGTGACCAATAAGGTGCCATGAGTATGAAGAATGGTTACACGTGGTTATGCTGCTGCTGCCCTGTATGGAGTTCAAATACAGATAAAATGATGTGGCTGCTGAGCAGCCAAAGGGGTGGATGGTACAATTTCTAGGCTGTTCCCTCAGTTCCAGACCCAAACACTTGCACTCCAGTTGAGATGCAGGGCCTGCTTGGCCAAGGTTGACAGAAGCATCTGCCAACAAGGCACAGGAGTAGACAGAAAGCCCAGAAGAGGGGAGAGAAAACAAACTCCTTCTTGATTTCCCATTTCTCCATCAAAATCATCTCAGAAATGTTCTTCACTCTGGCCATTGGTTCCACTTTGCAGATTTTGTCTTCACTCTCCCATCACCAGTCTCCTCCTGTCCTTCAGAGGAACAAACCCTGGCTGACCTGCACCTGTTCCTCAGCCATCTGAGGACGGAAAGTGACCTCTGAACTCCTGGAATACTGAACCAACCACACAGCACCCACTTGTCACAAGCCTGACACCCAGCTCTGCAAGTCTCTCTTCTTCCTCTGGCCTCTAGAGGATCCACTCTGAGTCAGGGCTGTGCAACCTTCTCAAAGGCCTGGGCAACTCTCACAGACACCCCTCTCAGGGACCAGCTGGTCCATGTCTCCTGCTCTGATGCTGGGGTACCAAGACTCCAGGTTTCACTAATCCCAACCCCTCCCTTCACATTCCCAGGCCTAGAAATAGTAGCTTAATTCTACAGGACTTTTGCTCTGCAATCCTTAGTGTTCTTATGCTATTTCAGTTCTCAACATACAGTTAACTCTTCACATTATATTTTCTCTGTGAGAATATTTGATGTGGTGTTTTCCTTACTGGATCCTGACTGATATACATAGGTTTTAAAACAATGGCTCAAATTCTGTTTTTATTTCTGTTCTAATCTTCATCCCCCAAGAAGAATACTATGTAGAACGTGAAGTGCTGAATTGAATCACAGCTGTTACAGCAAATTTGCCATGTGAACACATACAGTGCTTTAAAAACATTGTATATATTTTTATCTCATTTGATGCATCCTCTTACATTCATTTAACAGGGTTTTCACTAAGCAACTTCTACTCATAAGGCACAGGGCCAGGTACTCATAATGTACAAATTAAAAGTGCTACCCCTGCAGAGGGTAACTTCTAAATAATAGGGATATATTTTTATTTCATAGAAGAAGCTTTATAAAGTGTTCATTGAGTCAAAGGAGAAAGCTAGGACCTACCCAGGGAGAATTATAAAGAAAATTTCTGCCATCTAGAATTCAGATATCCATGATTATTATGCTGAATCATCAATTAAATAATATACAAGTATGTAAAGGGACCAGGACAGTGCCCCACACTTCATAAACTCTCAATAAAATAGTCACACACAAAAAAAAGTTAAGAAATAGAGTGAATTTACTTCAAGGACTCTATAAATGGGGACTTATGGCCAAGATGGAGGCATAGGTAGACACACTGTGCCTCCTCCCACAACCAAAATAAGGACAACAACAATTTGAAAACAAAACAAAAATAAACCAGTGCTGACAGAAAATGGAACTGTTTGGAAGTCTGACAACCAAGGAGTTAAAGTAGACACACTGATCCAGACCAATAAGAGGGACAGAGTCAGGCCGCCTCCCAGAGAGGGCTCAGTGGCAGGGCAGCTGGCACACCTTAGACAGGCAAAGCAGCAGCTGTCAGACCCAGCAAGGTGGTGATGGTGGAGGAGCCCAGTACACAAGGTGGCTGGCAGACCTCGAGGTCCCACATTCAAATGCAGATAAACCAGGCAAAACTGGGGAGTGAGATGGACCACTCAACCCAGGGTCCCAACAAAGGGAAATAAAGCCTCAAACCTTTGACTCAAAACACCTGTGGGGGTTGAGGCACATGAAGAGACTCCCAGCCTCACAGGAGAGTTCATTGGAGAGACCCACAAGGTCCTAGAACATACAGAAACCCACCCACACTGGAATCTGCACCAGAAGGGCCCAATTTGCTTGTGGGAAGCAGAGGAAGTGAGTGAAAGCTGGCAGAGATCAGAGCAAGCACCATTGTTCCTTCTCGGACACCACGTCCACATACAGCATCACAATCCAGCAGCTGGGTTGCCTTACACTGGTGAACACCTAAGGCTCTGTTCCTCACTATGTAACAAGCACGTCAAGAAAAAAAATGGCCAAAAGGAAAGAACAGATAAAAGCTCCAGGAAAAATACAACTAAGCGAAGAAGAGCTTACCAACCTAGGAGATGCACAGTTCAAAACACTGGTAATCAGGATGCTCACAGAAATGGTTGAATTTGGTCGCAAATTAGATGAAAAAATGAAGGCTACACTACGTGAAATCAAGGAAAGTATACAGGGAACTGATAGTGATGGGAAGGAAACTGGGACTCAAATCAATGGAATGGACCAGAAGGAAGACAGAAACATCCAATCAGAAAACAATGCAGAAACAAGAATTTTAAAAAATGAGGAGAGGCTTAGGACCTCCAGGACATCTTTAAATGTTCCAACATCTGAATTATAGGGGTACCAAAAGGAGAAGAGGAAGAGCAACAAGTAGAAAACTTATTTGAACAAATAATAAAGGAGAACCTCCCCATGCTGGCAAAGAAAATAGATTTCCAGGAAGTCCAGGAAGCTCAGAGAGTCCCAAAGAAGTTGGATGCAAGGAGGAACACACCAAGGCACATCATAATCACATTACCCAAGATTAAAGATAAGAAGAGAATCTTAAAAGCAGCAAGACAAAATGAGAGAGTTACCTAGAAAGGAGCTCCCATCAGACTGTCACGTGATTTCTCAAAAATGACCTTATAGGCAAGAAGGGGCTGGAAAGAAGTATTCCAAGTCATGAAAGGCAAGGATCTATATCCAAGATTGCTCTATCCAGCAAAGCTTTCATTTACAATGGAAGAGCAGATAAAGTGCTTCCCAGATAAGGGCAAGTAAAAGGAGTTCATCATCACCAAGCACTTATTATATGAAATGTTAAAGGGACTTACCTAGGAAAAAGAAGAAAAAAAAACATGTACAGTAAAATGACATCAAACTCACAATTATTAACAACCACATCTAAAACAAAAACAAACTAAGCGAACAACTAGAACAGGAACAGAACCACAGAAATGGAGAACACATGGAGGGTTATCAACAGGGGAGTGGGAGGAGCAGAGAGGGGGAAAAGATACAGAGAATAAGTAGCATAGATGGTAGGCAGAAAATAGACATGGGGAGAGTAAGAATAGTAAAGGAAATGTAGAAGCCAAAAACGTGTAAGTATGACACATGGACATGAACTAAAAGGGGGAATGTGGGTGGGAGAGGGTAGGCAGGGTAGAGGGGAGTAAAGGGGGGAAAATGGGACAACTGTAATAGCATAATCAATAAAATATATTAAAAATTGAAAAAATGAAAAAAGGACTCTATAATGGATATCAATGACAATAGCAATGCATTGCTTCTCTGTAAGTCTTTTGAGTTCCATGTAGTGGTCCCTAGGAGAGTCCCTGTAAGATGGGCAGGTGTCCTTATTCCCATTTATTGATAAGGAAACAATAACAAATGGTGAGTGACTTGCCAATGTTGTGTAACCAAGACATGGTGGCACCAGACACAGGATGCCCTGGCCATTCATTGTTGGCTGTCGCTCCTGCAACAGTCCAGCCCCTTCTTCAGGGCCCCCATCACATCCCGGTTTCTTAAGCTATAAATGAGGGGGTTGAGCATAGGAGTAAGGACTGTGTAGAAGATAGAGACCACCTTGTCATGGCTGGGGGTCCGGTAGCGCCTAGGCCTCAGGTAGATGAACATGGCTGCCCCCATAGAAGAGGGAGACAGCTGTCATGTGGGAGGAACAGGTGGCTAGAGCTCTTTTACCAGCCTGAGCAGAGTGCATATGGAGCACGGCCCCCCAGGATGCGAACATAGGAAGCCACAATGATGGAGAAGGGAAGGAGCAGCATGAACACACAGCAAGCAAAGAGCAGGGTTTCAAAAAGTGAGGTGTCAGCACAGGCTAGTTTCAATAAAGTTGGCACCTCACAGAAGAAATGGTCCACAACCTTTGAGCCACAATAGGGGAAGGTCATCACTACCACCATCTGGATCAAGCCATCTAGCATCCCAAAGGCCCAGGAACTACCAGCAATCTGGAGACAGACCCTCTGACTCATGCGGGTGGAATAGTGCAGTGGGTGGCTAATGGCCACATAGCGATCATAAGCCATGAGCCCCAGCAAAAGCCCCTCTGATCCAACAAGAGAGACAAAAAGGCCGACTTGTATGCCACAGCCCACAAAGGAGATGGTCTTCCTGCCAGACAGGAAGCTGGCTGCCATCTTTGGCACAATGGTACAGACCAACATGAGATCCATGAGGGAGAGCTGACTGAGGAAGAAGTACATGGGTGTGTGAAGTCGAGCATCTATGCTGATGAGGGTGAGGAGGAGGACATTTCCACAGAGGGCCACTGAGAACACCACCATGACCACAGAGAAGTGAGCAAGGTCAGCTGGGCTGTGGGAAAAGATGCCCAAGAGGATGAAGTCATCTGTGCAGGACTCATTCAACCACATGCCCATGGCTCTGTTGTTCACAGTCATCCTGAGAATTTGGACAAAGAAATTCTGAATTAAGTGATATATCTTTATTTACCTCTAAATTCTTCTTCTTTCAGCTATATATTTTGTAATCTACCAGAGCTCAACAACATAAGCTTTGGAACATACAAGTGCATGTTCTTTCATATTCCCATGGCACAGGTGACAGGATCTTTGTTTGCTCATAGAGTTGGACTGCATATCTCTACTTGCATGTTTCTATACCAAAAAGTAGAAACTCAATTATTTTGTGTGCCTCAGGATTATTGAACAATCCCCTTTCAGCAAGCAAAATATTGGCCTTCCCATATGACACCAACTTTTTTTAGCAGGGATTCTGTGGATGCAGCCAACTGTCTCTAACAAGACTAGAACCATTTCATCCCCAAGAGATAATCTATATGAGTTAAAATTCCATATAATATATTACTATATGGGTTAATAAAATGGGTTTCTATGGCTGGTAATAGAGACAGGAGATGTTCTTTATTTTGCTCAGGCCAAATAAATCAAAATCATTTTCATTCCTTCATGTCATTTATTCCTGATATCCAAACCATGAGCAAAGCCTCTTAACTTGACATTCAGAGCATCTCAGAATACATCTAACTCTTATCATCCTAATGCAACTGCCCTAATGCTAAAGCTACAGTCCTCCCTCTGATGGATTGTTTCAGGCTTCTAGTCAGTCTCCTGGCTTCAGTTCATTGAATCTCTTGAGTCTATTCTCACAGCAGTTCAAATGATTCTGTGAAAATATAAGTCATATGATATAACTCTCTTACTGAAGGGTACATCAGTGACTACCCAAAAACTTCCAAATAAAGCCCAAACCATATCTGGCCTTAAATCTCTCTCTCTCTCTTTTCCTCTCTCCCCTTCTCTCTTTCTCTCTCTCTCCCTCATCCACCACATCCTCCACCACCAGCATGCACACTGGTGCCAGTACCTTTGGCCTCATCTCTTACCATGCCCCCATCACTCACTGTGCTTCCATTGATTTCCTCAGACAACCAGGACTCACTCTCACCTTTGGGCCTTGCCTTTTCTTTGTCTTTCCCCCAATTTCTATCTCTCACCTGCTTTAGAACTTTACTCAAATGCCAACCTCTTTAGAGATGTCTTCTGTGAAAGATATATGAAACATATGTACAAATGTTTTTGTACTCTCAAGCCCAAGCCCTTTCCTGCTTTTTTTTTTCCTGAGCACTTACACCATTTAACACACATATGCTAACATTTTTAACTTTTATTGTCTGTGTCACCCTGTTGGGAACCGCCTTGCCTGGTTTCAGGAGCTGTAACTCCCCCATGCCTAAGGCTGAGTGAGGGACCTTCAGACCAAGCCTCTAAGGAGACAAAGCTTATCTCCCTGGCAGGAGCACTGCTTCTGCTCCTTTACTTCATCCATAACTGACCCCCCAATGCTTGATCAGTTAGCCAATGACTGGTAAGATTCCCCAAGCGGGAAACGATCTAAGACAGGCATGATCACATGGGAGGCTGCCAAGAAAGGACTTGGGGGGCTAAAACAATAGGAGGTGAGAGACTCTCACCCCTTGGCTTTGACAAAGCCTGAGTTCTAATTCTGCCTGAGAGAAGTCTTCTAGTCTCTTAGCTGTCTTGGTCCCTCTGCCTGACTTAATCCTGAAACAATGACAGAGGGCTGTGCAGCCCTGTGCCAGAAAGAGCAGGTTCCCCCCACCCCCTCCAACCCCTCCCCCACCCCCGTGTTCATGCCTGAGAAAGAATACATAAACTCCTGTGAAACCTGCTTTGGTGAGGTTGCTCTTAATTAGATTATAAAGGTCTGGGCAGGAAATGAGTTTGTTTCCCAGAGTTTTGAGGCCCTTAGCTAACAGACCCTGACTCAGAATAGGCCCTCAGACTTCTTTGTATGTTATCTATTGCTTGATCCTTACTGCCTAACAATGATTAATGAACTTTACCTGTATTCCTGGGCAAGTTAAAAGCCAATAAAAACCCTGTGAAGGAAAGATTGGGGCGTTCTCCTTTGAGAGAGTAGCCAGGCCGCTCTAAGGCACCCTCCTCTTGAGAGGGTAGCCAGGTGGTCCCTTTTCCTCCACACAGGACTTGGTAGTCTGTGTGAATGTCTCATGTCTGATCCATGACGCCACGGACCTGCAGGCCCGAGTCTGCATCATCATCCCACTGAAACAGAGAAGCACCATTTACTTTCACCATGCCACTGGCAGCCCCTGGAGTGTGGCCTGGCTCATGGGGCACCCTCAGCTCAGAGGGGCTGACTGAAGGAACCATGCACAGTAGAGAGATGCGCAGACTCTATTTCTGTTTGCTGAGAGCAGAGGACTCCCCTCCCTTGCAGGAGCCTTTGTTCTCCACTCTCATGTACTAGTTTGTTGCTGTCTTCCTTCCTCTGAGGGACAGTAATTCATAGAGCATGAAATATTTTTACATATTTACTAAAAACGGGGACTTTTTACAAATGGATGACAATAGTATCTAGTAGACTAGAATGGTAGGTCTATCCAGTCACCCAGGATACACCACAGGGTGTATCTTTGGCACCTCTCCTCTCACACACTCATCCCAATGTCAGAATCCCCCACTGTCTCTTCCTCCAAACTGTATTCAACCCTGGCCACTTACTCATAGCACTCAAAAAACTGGCCATGTTACATTTAATGTACATGGATTTGTTCCTACTTTCCCAACTATAACACATGTTTCCAGATGTCTCTTTTTCTGCTGGGCAGATTCCATGCTCACAGAACAGTGACAGCATGTATGATGTTCTCAGTAGGTATAGTGGAATAGTTCATTATGCATGCAAAACAACTCAAGAAACTTTTCTAGTGTCTCATGTACTCATATTTTCTCCTCTCTGACTTCATTCCTGTATGCTGGGTGTTTAATTAATGGCTTTATTTTTTTCCTAGACATGACACCATAAAAGAACCTACCTTGTCTCTACAACATTCTTTCAGGGAAGAGGTGACTCTATGTCCCATATCAGTCCTCCCTTTCTTCCCCTCACCTCTCCACATTTATCCTCTGTCTTCCTATTTTCAACCACCCTTCACCCAAAACCCCATATGGAGACCCCAGTCCAGACAAAGGGAAGGAGGAAGGGAAAAGGTCAGTAAAGAAAGAAAAAGACAGGAGTAGATCAAAGGAAGAGGACCAGAAAATGAGTGAGAAGAGACATAACACTAGAAAGCATATGCACAAGGCCACCAAAGAAATGCTAAAAGAGGAAGACATTGGGGGAAGAAGAAATGCTGATAAATAAATAGAAATGAAGACACAAACCAGAAATCAGTAAGTGCAACTGTAAGGAAGGGACAAGAGGGGTGACAGGGAAACGACACATGCTTACCTCAGGACGGGTTCTCTGGAGGACAAGTGACTCCGCAGCTACCTGTGGAGGAGTTCCTGGGATGAACATCACTCCATCGTCTCTCACGCACTGGGTCAGAGGGGACAGAGGGGACAGGGAGATGCTGCTCCAGCTCTGACCTCCCTCCTCAGCCACCTACTTCTTAGTGACTCTCTAGCTCAGTGGGGTTCAAACAGACAACAGCCTCCTCTCAAAAAAAGGGGGAGAGAGAGATCAGGGACTTAGTCAAGGGATGGTGGTGGGAAGATGGGCTGAGAACCATCACCCACACATCCCTTGCACCCACCAGTGCCTATCCACCTACCTCGGGCTGCCTCTCAGCTCAGCCTGCAGACCTGTCTCCCACTGCCCATTAAGGTACTTAACACAGAGCTGCAGTGAGGAAGGTAAAGCTGTCTCCTCCCAGGAGAGCCCTCAGACTTCAGCCCTGAAGCAAGAGCTCCCAAGATTACAATTAAAGAGACTCCAACAGGAACCTTGGGGACAGAACCAGAAGTAGGCCCTGTGGAGACCATGTGAGGAAACCTGCTCAGGGGAGAGCCACAGGGCAGCCAGGCACAGGAAGGGGAAGGAGTCTCTGTGGGCTCCACCCCCACTCAGACCAATTCCACACTTCCCCAGTCACCCCCAGGGCCCTCATGGTGTCTCCACCTGTGACTGGCCATGTTGGCTCTCCACACTCCATAGTCCACACCTGTTCTTGATCTGCCCTGCAGGTCAGTTCACACCTGCTGAAGGCCCAGGATACACAGAGCACTGGGTGAGATGTTGTGCTGCATTCCAAGAGGGTCTGGCCACAGCCCTGGCTCCTAGGAGTTCATGACCCAGTAGGAGGGACACAGAGCATCCACCTTCATGAGAGTCAGATTGTGGCATGGGAGCTGGGTGTCCTTCAGAGCCTGTCTGGGGATTGATTCTCTGTGATCAGTACCCTCCCCACTATGCTGCAGTCTGCAGTTTTATGCCTGTTGTCCCAGTGTAGCCATGAATACCAAAATCCTCACTCTCTAGTGTGTCCCAGCTTGGATGTGAATAATGGCCACTTTTTGGGCTTTATGTCCTGTAGAAGCTGGTTGATTTTTTCATTAGCCAAAATCATTGCTATTCACTTGCCAAAAGGTTAATTCATCGTCTTAGCTGTTTTCTTATAGCATTTTTTTCATGTTTACCTCTTTCTGTGCTTCTGCTTCCAGCTACTAACTGGAGACAAGGAATATGCAGAGGCTGCTAAGAGGAAGAGGCAGGAAGACCAGGGATCAGAGAGAGTGGAGGTGAAATGGTCACCTAGCAAATGAGTTGTAGGCACATTGGCTTGTGAGGGCTTGACCTAGCTCATTTACCAGTCTTCCTTTTCATTCTTCTCCTCTTCTCCTCCTTATTCACCTGCTGTTTTCCCATATCCATACTTTTGCTCAAGCCATTTTTCCCCACTGGAAACTACTTTGTCTCCTGACTATGTTCCTCTTAGCTCATTACTAATTCTCCAGGAATCTGATGAAATCCATCTTCTTTCAAACTTCCCAAAGCACTCAATCCACACTGACTTCCACATCCTGGGGATCCCTGAAGCCTCACTGTCTACACCTTGCACAGCATAGTC